CTAGAAACTCATGACGTGTTACCAGAGTCACGTGACTTCCGCTGTCGTAACAATATAAAAATAGTGTGGCCACAACAACTTAAACCACTCCACATCCGTGCATAGCAGCAACAACAAAAAAGTAGGAACTTCCAAAACTTATCTCCAAGATGTATTTAAAACACCAAAAGAACATCTCTTTCCCCAACAAAGTTCATATTTATGTTTAAAATAATGCTTCACTATTCACATCCAATTTTTCTATTAACGTTTTCGAAAGTACAAAACTACATCTGAAAAACAAAACACGATCACTGATCACCTACTACAACTAATTACAATCTCAGACATCAAGAAAACAAACACGTGAAAATAAGGCTCCAAGGCAACATTAAATTCAGATCGTTATCATTTAAAAGGGGCACGCAGCGATACCATTGCAGCTCTGTTTAATTTATCTTTCAAATCCGGTTATATTCCAGAATCTTGGAAGCAAGCCAATGTTATAGTGTTCCGTTAAGAAGGAAGGCCAGCAGACAAACCTATAAGTAACAGACCTATTAGACCAGTGCTTCCCAAACTTTTTCGTGGCTCGACCATTTCCTAGAGCCCTAGAAATACCACTTTCTCCGTGACCCTACATTAAAAAAATCAGAAAAATTGTAATAATAATAATGCTTTATTAAAATTTTCATCAGTAAAATGGATGGGGATACAACAACACATTGAATTACAAAACTATGAACATTTATTTACGTTGGTTGTAAGGAGAACTATGACTTAATACTTTTAATGCAAGCTGTGCGATTGTTCTAGCAAGCATAATTTCTCGAAGCGTGTTTGAAGACTTGTTAGTCTTAACGTGTTGTTTCCACATACTTCAGTTGATTACGCTTCTTTATCATGTGTTGCACCAGAAGGAAATTCCCGATTCACAGAAGTATTAAAATGTGATGATTTATAAAGAATTATATTCATTTTATTCTTCTTGGGGAAAATGTAATGAAATATAAAATATCGGAATTTTTCTGTAAATTTGACAAAATAATAAAATATTTTCTGGAATGTTTGTGACCCCAATTCGACCCTTACGCGACTGATACCTCTGTAATCGTGATCCACACTTTTAGAATCCTGTATTAATCTTTGTTTTATTATAAGTTACAGCTTTTATAATAAGGAAGACTATTGTTAAAACAGATACGACATTTCGATCACTGGTGCCATCATTTTCAGGTACGCCCTCTAGTGGCACAGCGGTATGTCTGCAGACTTACAACGCTAGAATCCGGGTTTCGATACCCGTGGTGGGCAGAGCACAGATAGCCCATTGTGTAGCTTTGTGCTTAATTACAAACAAACAAACAAATAATTTTCAGGTACACAAGATCACTGGAACACGTGATTTTAAATCTCGAAGTCTACAAAGTTAAAATCACTTTTATTTTTGCGTAGTGAGAAGCTTTTGATTCAAATCAATCCACCCTGATGTCAATGATCCAGGAAATTTACAAAAAGATTTGTTTTGAATTTCGAACGAAGCTACTCAAAAGCTATCTGCACTAGCCATTCCCAATATAGAAGTGTTAGACTAGACACTAGAGGGAAAGCAGTTAGTCAAACTTGAGTATTTGAGAATGATCGCAACAGTGATCGTAACGGTGTGCCTGTTTTAGAATCATTATTATTTACTGTAAAACCTGTAACTTGTAATAAAATAATACTTATAACCAGTAAGTAAACTCAAAACGAATCCTATGTTAGTCACCATATTTTTCAGCCAACAGTTTAGGAAAAATAGCTACAAATAGATTATTTACATTTTGATTATTGAATAATTAATTACATGAAATTCGAAACGATTTTAGAAAACAAGACAAACTACATATCACCTTGCTGGGATCACAGAAACAATTACAGCTATTAACAAAAAATGATGTACAGTAACATTCTTTTTGGACGTGGAGAAAGATTTCGTTAGTATTTGGTACAACGATCTAAGGCAGTGGATCTTAAACTTTTTCGTCCGAGGACCACTTTGGCGGGGCGAAAGACCCTCGGACCACTTACCGGTCCTACTCCACCTGTTCTGTTCTCTCGTATGTCCTCGACCGTGGCATTGCACGTCAGTGACTTGCATTTTGGACCAGTACTTGGACCACCTAGAGGGTCATGCGGACCACAGTTTGAGAACCATTGACCTAAGGTATCAAATGTATCAATTGGATGTACCTATGGGTGCCATTCACTGTCTTTCCAACTTTTTATGGAGGATAGAAAAGCTAGAGTAAACGTGGAAAAAAGCATCCACCCAAATTATTTAATTTCTGAGGCTGGTGTCCCACAAGTAGGGGCATTTAACTTTTTGTTATTTAACGTGTATGTTAGCAGCATTGGATGATAACAACTGTATTGATTTTTAATTTGCCGATGATGTAGCTATCTGGAAGAGTTCCCCATATAATTCTACTGCTTCTACTAGTCTTCATCCCCTTTTCAATTCAGTAGAAGAATGGTTTAAGTAATGAGGAATCAAAATTAATGC